TTTTTAATCATCTAATGTAAGGTTTTTTGGACGTTTGTTAAAAGTTGATTTTTTATATTTTTTTAGCTTTATTTTTAAAAAAACGTATAAAAAAATAGAGAAATGATGTGACCTAAAATAAGCTAGTCTTCTTCTCAAAAAAGGCCGTAATGGAGTTAGGAATGGCAACGGGGCGGGGCTGGGGATCACACTCCCCGTCCCCGATCCCCGATGGTAGAAATTTCCCTGTGCCCGGTCCCAATCCCCGACGGGGAGCCTAACACCACCCTCGCCCCCGTCCTCTAACGGGAATCGAGTTTCCCCGACCCCGATAATTCCCCGGCTAAAATTATAAATAAAAAAAACAACAACAACAATATAAACATCCAACAACAACAGATCTGAGCACACACTCATCAACAACAACAACAACAATCATCAACAGATCTGTGAGAGCATATATATTCATCAAATGTAAAAAAATAAAAATAAAAAATAAAAAAATTTAACACATCTTTTTCTTCATCTTCATTAGAGGCTCAGATGGATGAATTAGGCGACAGAAGCGAGAGGCAGATCGGAGGGACGACGACGGCGATCTGAGCTCAGACGGAATGGAGGGACGACGGCGATTGAAGGGAGGCAGAGAGATCGTCATGAGGCAGATCGGAGGGAGAGAGAGAGATCGGCATGAGGCAGATTGGAGGGAGAGAGAGAGATCGGCGTGAGGCAGATCAGACGGAGACAGTAATGGAGGTCGGGTGAGGCGGTGAGGCAGTGAGGTCGGAAGGAGGGAGGGAGATCGGAGGGAGGGACATCGGAGGAAGACGAGGGAGAGAGAGAGAGAGAGAGAGACTTGAGTCAGAATATTTGGTAGTGTTACATCTTCATTAGGAAACATATATATATAGGGAGGGTTATAATTGTAATTTCCTATCGGGGAAACGGGGACGGGGGACGAGGACGGGACTAGGGCAGGTCTGGGGCTGGGGAAGGTATCACTGTCCCCGGCCCGAAAATAATCAGGAATTTATTTTTTAATACCATCTCCGGCCCGTGGGGAGTTTTTTTTAGGAAAAAACCGTTCCATTCAGGGTCAGGAGGTCAGGTCCTCGTCGGGCCGGTTCCCCGTCGGGCCAGTTTCAAATTGCCATCCCTAAATGGAGTTGAAAGAATTTGGAAGAATTATATGGTTTGACTTATAACATTAACAAGATAAATATTGAATTTTTAATTTTATCAATTTTAACACTAAATATTTGATTGACTTATAACATTAACAAGATAAATATTGAATTTTTAATTTTATCAATTTTAACACTAAATATTTGATTTGTTTTTAATATAAATTATTTGTCTATTTTCATTAAGTAAAATTGAGGAAAAAAAAATATTTCAGTTATTAAACTCAACGAAAAAGAATACTTTTGGATATTTTATGTACACATTAGTGCTGTTTGGTGTAGCTATTAAAACAGATTATACATTATAGCTTAACAGATTATAGATTATAACTTTAATCAGAAATTGTTAATCTATTTGGTATAACTGTTGGATTATATATTTAAGTTGCTGAGTAATGCTTGTTAAATAAGCTGTGAAGTAACTTTTTTAATTAATTTTTATTTTTTATTATTTACTATTTATCTACATTTCTCATAAAAAATAATAATAATATTTTATAGTCCATTTGGGTCTTTTTCTATTTAAAAAAAAAATAAAAAATTTTAAGAATATAACCGTAAATTAACATATCTACAGCAGAAGCTTATAATTAGGGGTGGGCGCGGGTCGGTTGCGGCCACGAAACCTCCAATCCGCCATCCGTCCGCCAGATTGGCGGATTGAAGAAAATCAATCCGCATCCGTACATCTTTTTCTTCATCTTCATTAGAGGCTCAGATGGATGAATGGCGACAGAAGCGAGAGGCAGATTGGAGGGACGACGACGGCGATCTGAGCTCAGATAGAATGGAGGGATGACGGCGATTGAAGGGAGACAGAGAGATCGTCATGAGGCATATCGGAAGGAGGGAGAGAGATCGGCGTGAGGCAGATCGGACAGAGACAGTAATGGAGGTCGGGTGAGGCAGTGAGGTCGGAAGGAGGAAGGAAGATCGGAGAGAGGAAGATCGGAGGAAGATGGGGGTTTGAGAGAGAGAGAGAGAGAGAGAGAGAGACTTGAGTCAGAATATTTGGTAGTGTTACATCTTCATTAGGAAACATATATATATAGGGAGGGTTATAACTGTAATTTCTTATCGGGGAAACGGGGACGGGGGACGGGGCGGGTCCAGGGCTGGGGAAGGTATCACCGTCCCCGGCCCGAAAATAATCGGGAATTTATTTTTTAATACCATCTCCGGCCCGTGGGGAGTTTTTTTCGGGGAAAAACCCTTCCATTCGGGGTCGGGGGGTCGGGTCCCCGTTGGGCAGGTTTCAAATTGCCATCCCTAAATGGAGTTGAAAGAATTTGGAAAAATTATATGGCTTGACTTATAACATTAACAAGATAAATATTGAATTTTTAATTTTATCAATTTTAACACTAAATATTTGATTTGTTTTTAATATAAATTATTTATCTATTTTCATTAAATAAAATTGAGGAAAAAAAAATATTTCAGTTATTAAACTCAACGAACAAGAATACTTTTGGATATTTTATGAATACATTAGTGCTGTTTGGTGTAGCTGTTAAAATAAATTATACATTATAGCTTAACAAATTATAAATTATGACTTTAATCAAAAACTGTTAATCTGTTTAGTATAGCTGTTGAATTATATATTTAAGTTGCTGAGTAATGCTTGTTAAATAAGCTGTGAAGTAGCTTTTTCAATTAATTTTTATTTTTTATTATTCATTATTTGTCTACATTTCTCATAAAAAATAATAATAATATTTTATAATCCATTTGGGTCTTTTTCTATTTTAAAAAAAATAAAAAAATTTAAGAATATAACCGTAAATTAACATATCTACAGCAGAAGCTTATAATCAGAAGCAAAAGGTGAGCAGCTTCTCAGAATTAGCTTTTTAACTTAAAATAAGTTGTTAGAATCAGAAACTGTTTGAAATAAGTTTAACTAAATAGTCCAAAATAACTTTTTAAAAGACAGAAGTCATAAGTTAGCTCAAAAAAGTCCCACCAAACACCCCTTTTATATTAAGCTTAAAGGTTAAAATACTCAAATTTTTATTGATTTTATTTAAGAAAAATAAGCTAAGGATTTAAATTAATAAAATTAAAAAACTATTTTGTGATGGGAGTCCAAATTTTTTGTTTTTGGTAATAAAATTTCTCTACAATTTTCATGAAGACATGTAGAAGTTTACAAAAATAAAAATTAAGGGAAAATGCATGAGCCTTTCAGTGAGAGTGCTGGGATCCTTTTTAATTGATCTAAAAATTGTTTTGTTTTGTTTTGGTAATTTTTTTTGTTTTAGTTTTCAGCCATTGACAGCCTCCACGTGGAGGAGGTCACCCCCACTTGGGGGTCCCAGCATTGCCGAAAAGTCAAATGAGTAAATGTTGTTTTTGCACAATAAGGGGTCCACGGTTTTCACGCGGCATCCCATCTTTGCCCCTTTTTCTTTCCCAAAATTTCAAAATCAGCCACCCACGCATCGAATCTCGGCTCATGACCCCGCCCACGTGTTCTCAACCTATAAATACCGATCTACCGGGTCATTAGGGCTTCCAGTGGCAGTTTCAATTCGTGTCCAAATCCAAGCCCAAATCAGTCAAATCACACCTAGAGAGAGAGAGATTGTCGGGTCGTGTGTGCGCGTAGACACAGAGAGAGAGAGAGAGAGAGAGACTCGTGGAGGGTCGCAAGGTGCGATGCGTGGAAGCAGGTGACAAAAAAACCAGAGAGAATGGCGAGATCGCCTTGTAAACCAGCGACGCCACCTCTTGAAATGGCGAACCCTGACGCCTTCTTCTGATCGACCCCTAACCCCTAACCGTTTCTTTTGGATTTCGATCTTTCTCTGGTAATCAACCGAATCTCTCATTCATCTTCTGCTCAATCCCCACATTGCCTTCAATTTCTGCAATTTTATTGCATTTCTTCCAATTTCGTGGTCTTCACGTTTCAAAACGCTTTCATATTTGTTCTGCATGTGGATTCTGTATTTATTTATTTATTTTTTTTTTGGTGTGCTTTTGGTTCAGAAATGGCGGAGGTGACGAAGAGATCGGCGTGAGGCAGATCGGACAGAGACAGTAATGGAGGTCGGGTGAGGCAGTGAGGTCGGAAGGAGGAAGGAAGATCGGAGAGAGGAAGATCGGAGGAAGATGGGGGTTTGAGAGAGAGAGAGAGAGAGAGAGAGAGACTTGAGTCAGTCTCTCTCTCTCTCTCTCTCTCTCTCTCTCTTGTATTCTTTGCATGCCCAAAATTTTTTTTTAAAAAAAATTATTGGGTAGGGACAGCATGGCGACGAGTTTGCAATCTGGATTTTTTGGATCAATTTTGGATTAATTATGGGTCTAGACTTTGATTTTTTGTTTTTGTTTTTGTTTTTGTTTTTGTTTTTTTTTTTTTTTGTTGTTGGATTTTTTGATCTCAATTGCCCCATTCTTGGGTAGATCACGTGATATGTTTTGTAATTTTGTCCCTGTCCTGTGAATTCGGGAAAGTTATCAACTTTAGAATTTACGAAACTCAATATGGTTCTACTTTTTTGAGGTTTGGTTTTACAGGTCTTTTCAAATCATTGTTCGTCATGTGATGTTGATCCTTAATATTGGATCATTCACTTCTTCCTCTTATTTTAATTTTATTTTTTATTAATTTTAATGGGGCAATTATTGGTCACCAAATGGTGCAATCTTTGACCTTTATAACAGCTGATAGCCTTGAACTTCTTAGCTATCTTAATTAAAGCAATAAATAGGAGGTTATTAAGCATAGATAAATGAACTTATAAAAAAAAAATAAAAAAAATTGCATAGATGAAATAAATTCATCCCTTGGTATGGGTTGACATGACACCTGTACTGTATTTTCTTGACTTTTCCTTAAATGATTTGAAATATTTTTGGGCAATTTTAAGGTTTAATAATTAACAGGGTTCTGTGTAATTATGCTTCACCATGTATATTGGGTTGGCAGATGAGATTGAACTTCTTTGATTTTTCGTTTAAAGAAATGTTTCTTGTTTTTTCTTGCATCCATCTTGTCTTTCTATGTGGTCATTGCGGCCTGTGTGGATTAATGTTTTATATTGCATTGTCAATTATAAGAAATCATAATGTAAGGGCATACTTTAGATATTCTAAACTTTGATCATCAAGGTTGAGCTTTACGCATGACAGATCATAATAGATGTGACATTACTGTTTTTCTCTTTCTGTTTGTTGTATAAATTTGGTGTTTCTTTCACATTACTGTTTCGAAGGATTTGGGAACTTGCTCTAAACAATATTTATCTTTATGTTCTTACAGATTAGCAAAAGAGTCTTTGAAGTGATGAAAAGTGAATGCTCTATGGATGTTTGGGTTCCGTCTGCAGTAGAGATGTCGGAATTAGATGCTCCAAAAGGACAGCCTCAGAAAGAAAATGATCGCGGTATTAGTGGTTGTATGGACAAAGCAGATGGGGGTAACCAAGCGATTCAAGGGAAAGATGGGAAAACTAACAGTAAACCATTTGAATTGTACAAAAGACGAACAACTGTGGTTGTTAGAAGAAAAACTTTCTTAGATGTTGTTTGTGATGCGCTGGCTGAATACAAGTATGTGGGTCCCAACCAGAGAGCGGATTTGGTTTTAGCTTGCAGGTAAAAACCTACATAACCATTTCAAACATTGTTAAATTATAGGCACTGATGAAGTGTGCATATTGAATGAACATTTTTTTATCTGTTTCTCTAGAGCATTCTCTCTAGTAAACAATAACCTGTCTATTCGTGATTTGGAATGGGTTGGTTTCGCTTTTACTCTTCACGTACATATTTTTTTTGGCCTCAAGGTTACATTATACATATTTCCCTGCAATCAAGTATGAAATTCTCATACAAAGGGACAGCTATTAAGACTTAGATGAAATTTCTGAACCGTATTCAGCAAGAGTTACTGTTAATTGGTTAGAATGTTGAACTGGGTGGCACAAAGGTATTTAATATTCATGTTGCACATACTTTCTTTCGTATTATTTTAGCCGTCTTGCTCAATAGTAGTAATCATGGATTCTGAATTTGGAATTAGTTCTACGTATATCCACTGTCACGTAGCTTCTAGGAGCAAGAGTTTTTACCTTGTGTGGATTTCTTGTGTAGATAAACTATATTAGATTGTCTGAGCCATTGGATGAAACTAAATTGGTGGTGTCAAAACAGTTTTAAATTTTTAATTAATTGAGTCACTGCTCCGGTGCTTTATGTTCTGGTGGCACAGGTGAACTGACTATGACTTTATGTTCTATGTGATGTTGATTGGTTGATTTAGCAGATACAAGGGAACTTGTGGCATTTAGCTTGAAGTATTACCCCTGGTTTCCATTTCGAACTATGAGAATTTGTTTTCTTGTTTCAGAATTCGGGAAAGGAAGGAATCTGTAACTGTGCTGTTGTGTGGGACCAGTGGTTGTGGCAAATCTACATTGTCAGCACTGCTGGTATATCTATTTTGTTGCCGAAAGCATTAGTCTTCTTTTTTACACTTTTGACATGGAGAATTATTGGCATTTCTTCAACCTCCCCCCATTTTTAAATCTTTCTTCTTCTTCTGGTTTTTTTCCCTATTCTTCTCCAAAAACATATAAAAGTTTCTGGTCAAGATATCAACTTTACATTTATTTCCCCATTAGTGGCAACAGTAGTGATTTTGTATATGATGCATGAATGGTTTTCAGTAGATGATCATTGTGGATGCTGATTGTAACACCTGCTTGTTGATCTTGCAAAAAAAAAAAAAAATTTCTTATGATTGTGTTTACTTTTAATTTTTTTCTACTAACTTTCTGGATTCGCTATTTCAAGTGGAAAAATCTCCATATTAGATGGTAAAAAATTTCTATCCAGGACACTGCTGGAAGCAAATGTGGCATATTAATTTGGAACTTTATAGTAGCCTATTGTTCCTGCATCTAACCGTTTCTGTGCCTTCTTTCATCCTGTGGCTGAATGACTCTGAAGAAGAAGGACTTATCTAGAATTCATTGATACTAGCTTATGATCTGAGATGGGGGACGTAAGAAAATAGATAGCTTTACTTACATTATAGATTTGGGAGTAACGTATTGGGGTTGAATGGGACATATTTCAAATGACTCCATTTTCATTGATATTTCATATTCACCAATATTGGGCCCTCTCATTCTTCATTTGTCTACCTGGGATTCGAATCCAAGCTAGAATCCTGTAAGAAATCATGTGCAAGCCTTCCCTTCCAAATCATCAATTTAAATGCAACTTGTGTTTGAATCTGAGGTTGACTGCACCAGCCTTCGGAATGCTGAACAAAAATTGAGACTAATCATTGTACATTTAAAATATTCTATCCTTATTTTTTTTTTATTTATAGTCATTTCTTCATCTATTTTTCAGGGTAGCAGGTTGGGTATCACGACTGTGATATCTACCGACTCGATTCGGCATATGATGAGGAGCTTTGTAGATGAAAAGCAAAATCCCTTGGTTTGGGCTTCAACATACCATGCTGGGGAATATTTGGATATAAAGGCTGTAGCAGCAGCAAAGGCCAAACGAAAAGCTAAAAAATTAGCTGGTGTTTCCCAGCCACTACCAAAAGATGATGTCTCTGATGGTTCTACAGTTGGAAAGTCTGATACCCAACCACCAGAAGTGGGTTCTAATTCTGCCGAATTTATCAGGCCGAGACAAATGGCCATTGAGGGATTTAAAGCACAAAGTGAAATGGTCATTGACAGCCTTGACCGGCTGATCACTGCATGGGAAGAACGGAAAGAATCAGTAGTAGTTGAGGGTGTCCACTTAAGCCTTAATTTTGTGGCAAGTCAAATGCATATTTACTTTTAGCAATTAATATTTACCGTTTACCCAATCTCCAATGAGAAAAGTTTTTCCTTTCTTTTAGTCGTCAGTTTTGGTCATAACTTGTATTATGTATTATGCTGTACAGATGGGGCTTATGAAGAAACATCCTTCAATCATACCATTCATGATATACATAACAAATGAGGACAAGCACATGGAAAGATTTGCAGTTCGTGCAAAGTACATGACTCTAGACCCTGCTAAAAACAAATATGTAAAATATATTCGAAACATCAGGTCAATCCAAGAATATCTCTGCAAGCGAGCTGACAAGCATTTGGTCCCAAAAATAAATAATACGAATGTTGACAAGAGTGTGGCTGCCATCCACGCAACACTTTTTAGCTGCCTTAGAAGGCGTGAGGCCGGGGAGCAACTTTACGATCCTGCCACAAATACAGTTTCCGTGGTTGATGAAGAATACATGAATCAATGTGCTGCCAATTCATTGAGCTCCAAGGGCATGTTCCAACTTATTCAAAGACAAGGTTCTACTAGGCATCTCATGGCTCTTCTGAATAACGATGGCTCTGTGGCAAAGGCTTGGCCGGTTCACTCAATTGACTGTAATGGCAAGCACATAGTGGATGAATCTACTCAGAAAGGGGTTGGGTCACCGATGTATGGGCCGTTGCAGATTGGTAAAGCCGAACCTGTTAATCTTCAGTTTGGTAACTTTGGGATCAGTGCTTGGCCCAGTGATACTGGTGGCACAAGTCGTTGCAGCAGTGTTGATGAGAGGGGTGATATCACTGACAATGGTAGTAGATATTATTCTTCCTGTTGTAGTTCGCCCAGGATGTCTGATGGACCAGCCAAGGAGGTATTTTAAAAACTATGATGATTTTAAAACCTTCTTTAGCCTCAAAAAGTGCTCTGAATTGCCTTCAAATATTTTTGTAGGGTAGTGCTTATGTCTTTTTGTTGTTCTGATTAATTTTCTCATACTTGCAGCTCAAGGAGGAGCATTCTGTGCATGGCAGTGATGAGGAAGTTGATGATACTCCCGAGGTGGACAGCGACGAGGATTTTAGTGATGATGGTCGAAAACAAATTGATGAAGAGGTAAGGAAGGTTGTAGTCATATGTGAATGATTGTGCATTATCTTAAATGGCATGGCATTTCTGCTCTCAAAGCAATATTTTCTTATAAGATCATATGTGGTGGATGTTTGAGTAGTGTAAAATCTTGGCAAATGAGTTATATTAGCGTTTGTAGTCTTAACCATGGTGATTTTGTTTGGTGGAAACTGAATATCCTAAGCTGCTTGATGGCTGATATAGCAGGAGTCACTTTTTTAATTGAGCTTTTGTATTTTCAGTTGATCTACCCTTCCTTTTCACTTTGTAATTATGTGTACATATATTTTATGCTTCTCATGTCGAAATTTATATTTTACATAGGGTTCTGTGGATGAGGAATCCACTAAATCGGATGAAGAGTACGATGATCTTGCGATGCAGGATAACCAAGACAGTGGCTACTGGACAGATGACGATGATGAGTTCAAGGCTAAGGTTGTGCCTATTTCTGGGGAGGAACCAACTTGTGAGGTTCTGGGTATCCATGGAAATGATAAGAAAAATTTTAACCGCCTCTTAAGAACTACTAAAAGTGAACCAGTGTCTGAGCTACCTTGCTCTCTGTCTTCTTTACTGAAGGAGAAGAATGAAAAGAGAGTGACATCTCCATGTCATGTCAAAATGCGAAAACGTTCGCATAGTATACCCGCGTTTGGAAAGCATGGTTCAGTTATCAAAGGTCCCATTCTCTCTGGAACACCACAAAGGTAGCTGGCATTTTTTGTTTTTTTTTTTATAATTTTTGCATCCTTTCTTTTTGATGTCTCCCTTAGCCTTTTGGCATTGCGGTTTAAATAGTAATGAGGCGATTCGCCTCACTGTATAGAATATTTTTGAGAGTATTGACACATGACTCTGTATTTTTCTTGCAATTTTGCTTTTGTGCCCAAGCTTTCATCTTTCAATTTTCTTTTTTCACTCTGTAAAAGTACCAACTATTCACTTCGGAGGAAACATTCAGAGACATAAGAATAGATATTTATTGTCACTATTGATTAAGCAAATGCCAACAGTTGATCATCTTTCATAATAAGTAGGAATATATCTTGACTAGATTCTTTTCACTATTTTCTGGTGTTTGGCTCAAGCTTTAAAATATATATATATATATAGGCATGAAAAAAGACTTTCAGCAAAAAATTATTAAGAGGGCGTATATTCAGAAACAATTGTTTTCCAGTTCAAAATTCTGCTAAATTCTATCATCAAAGGTCCAAAATTAAAAAAAAATTGACTTAGTGAACAAATTCACAATAGCTATCCATCAATGCATTTTATCGAACATTTGATAGACGAGGAAAATTGGACTGAAGTGAGAAGCATCACAACAGCAACAATCTGTTGGAAAATTTTACTTACACAGTACATTTACCTCTTTATACCTTCTATTTGAGATTAAAAAAAAATAAATAAATAAATTTTATTCATTTGTGAAATTATTTTTGAAGGGAAAAAAACAAAAATTAAATAGATTTGATTATCTCTTTACACCCATTACACTTTAATTCTTATTTGTCTTCATTTCTCATTTCTTTTTCTCTACTATACATCTACTTTAAAAAAAATTGAGAATTATAGTGTTTTGAACATAAAAAAAGTAATAGACGAAGAAATGGTTGTATAGGACCAGCAAAAAAGTGAAATAGTGAGTTTTTTTTTTCTTTATTTTTTACATTTTCATTTCATTTTTGAAAATGACTATTTGACTTTTGTTCAGTATACTAGTTCCGAAGAAAATCAAATAGTTCAGAATCACACTGCCAAACAAAACATACATATCTAGTAACCCATTGTTGAACAAAAAATACTTATTCAGAAACCTACTACCGAACAAAAAATGCATGTCTGATAACTCACTGCCAAAACATTTCCAATTTCTTTTTTTGACATTTAAATTTTTTTTTTTCACTTTGATTGATTATGCTTCTACTCATTGCAATAAAGCTAGTAGTGCATTGTTACTGGATTACAGTCATGAATTCATTATACACGAGGTTGGTTAGATTTATCTGCTTCCTATTCATCCAGTACCTTTCAATAGCAAGTAATTTCATCATCAGTGTGCTAATGGATGAGAGAAAGTATATACTTCCTGTATTGATCTATTTCGTACGATTGTTAGTGTTGATGTAATAACTACTGAAATTATCAACATAGATTGATTGTGATGACATCTCAGTGTATTTTTATAGGTGTTTGTATTAACAGATTTAAAAATATTTGTATTGACAAATTTTATGAATATTTTTATGGATGTTACACTTCATGTTTTTACAAATGCTTGACGTGTTAAGAAAAGTGAATTTGTAAACATGCGGCAAAATATGGTTGTACAAATTTAATTTGTTTGGCAACATGATATTAGAATAATCCAAATTGTTTAGCAATATATAACCGAACACGTCCATCATAAATTTAGGAAAAAAAATAATATTTTAAAGAAAGTGAATTCGTAAACGTGTGGCAATAGATGGCTGCACAAATATAGTTTGTTCGGTAATATGACACTGGAGTAATTCAAAAGGAATAGGTATAATAAGAAAAATCTGTAAAATTTTTGAGAAGGATTTAGTTTAGGGTTATTTTTGGTATTATAAAAAGGTGAAATGGTGTAATGAGAAAATAGATGTAAAAAAGTAAAATTGTGGTATAAGTAGAATTTTCCCTATGTATTTAAACAATGAATTAATTTTCTCGCTAACCAAACAATCTTGGACCTTGTCAGCTCAATCGTGTGTTGTGCTACTAAAAATTGTTGTTGACTTCTGGAGCTGTAAATGAGTTTCAGAGCACCATTCTTCACATGACTATCTTTCTCCAGTGTCGTGCAGCTATGCTATGCATTTCACAATGTTGAGTGCACATGTACCACAATACGGTGCCGCTAGATGTATTAATTAATGTATATATTAATATATCAATTAGTATTTTGTTATTATTATTGACGCTACTTATTATATAAATTATAAATATCTAAAATTTCTAAAATTATGTCACGTCATCTGTTAATATACTATTTAGTATATTAATTGATACGTATAGTATTATTTATCAGAAAATGATTTACGGAAATTGAATCAATAAATTATTTTTACTGTCGTTCGTTTGGGATGTGAGTTAATTTTTTTAACTTTTTGATTCGAGAATGATGTGTTCATAAATAAAATTACAAAAATGCCCTTCACCAACAAATTTATATCTTTTACAATTTTTTTTTCCCCCTGTTGTTCCCATTTGCTGAATTTTCGCCCCAGGCTGGGACTTTGTCCATTGAACAGTAACCTCAAAGCAATTTTTAATATTCCTCCCCACTTTGGTTGTGCATTTCTGACAATATTTTTATATTAATAGCTAACAAATTATTTTTTCTTTCACACTTAACAGATTATATTAATAACTAACCAATTACGTCACGTAAATCATACTCATTTTATTTTTCCTTCCACACACGTCATACAAGCGAAAAAAATCAACCCATCAAAGGTTTTTTTCTCCCACTGTAATAATGAACATTGCCAAAATCCTCACCCACTTTTTTAAAACACGCATAAGTTTCGAACGGTTTACATCTGTTTCGCAACAAATGACATCCTATTTGTAATAGTACTACGTACAATATTATTACTATCCACACCAACAAATTGTATTGCTCTTTTGCATTACATTCGTACTACTTCCTAATCCCGTAAATGGTACGCAGTTTTACCTACATAATACATAAATATGACATGGAGCAATAAATACATATTGTACACCCTCATATACACTGAGAGGGAATAAAAATAACTAAAAGAATTATATGGGTCCAGACACTTTTACGTAGCGTAATTATAAATTATCATGTGTATGACAGTTATCAAATTCTTATCAAAAATTACATTAGTATTTTATGTTATGCAAGACTTATTAGGATATGAAATCTTATTATTATAAAAGTTCTAAACAACTGGAGATTGTTTGTGATTGTGATAGTACTTCTGAAACATTCAAACTACTTGATAAGTAAGTCATTGGATATTAGAAATAGATAATACCCTCATGGGTTGAGGTACACAATTTCTCTCTATGAATTAGTCTATTAAATATTTTGATAATATTGGAGGACTAACTTAGGCGTCGGAGGGCCCCCAGCTGCAGCTAGTCTTTACTCTATGTTACTGTTTGTATTAAATCAATTATTCAAATTGATGTGTTGGGACCAAAGGCAAAAACAAGGATTATAATTCTATAGTATGAATACATCCATCATCATTATGTAAGCAAACTTATCTTGCCTTGACTTGAATTGAGAACCAAGCAGTGTTGCCGTGATATAAACCAATCACCAAAAACGGTGCGAACCACTGATTCAATAGTGTGATTAATTCTTGTGTGTGGGCACATCATGCTCAAATACATTTTGAAGATCAAGTGATGAGTTTCCACCATCTTTACAAATAAAGCCGGATCATAATATATATATTGTTCCATTTACTACCATGCTTATTAGGTTGGTTTTCGACACATTTGCTACACTCTGAGATGGATGCAAATTAGCGCGTTTCATATCTCATTAGTAGCTTATTCTCATGACTGGTGTTTTTAGGAGCAGAAAAAAGGAGTTAAGATTTGGCCAAATGACTAAGAGCACAATTAGTCTTGGCACTGCTCAATCATAGTGAAGTTATTATGTTGGATTTTTATCTGTGAAGTATGGATTTTATGTATTAGTATTCTCGACACAGAAATATTATTATCAATTATGAATTTTATGCACTATTATTCTAATCACGGGGACTTGGAAGATCAAATTATTATATTAGATTTTCATTATCTGAAAAATATGAGTTTTTATACCAAATGTGGATGAAGACTATTATTTGGGTCAAATATGCTGAGATGGAGTTCGCGCTTCAATATGAATTACACTAATCTTTGGTTACAAATTTTATCTCTTTGCCAAGCTGGTTTGGGCAAGAGATAAGTTGGCAGATTTGACCAACTTGAAAAATCTTTGTCGAGCAGGTTTTGCTTGATGAAGTAGATTGGTAAGTTTGACCAATTTTGAAAATCTTTGTCAAGCAAAATAGGTTGGTAGGTTTGACCAACTTGAAAAAATTTTATTGAGCGGGTTTTGCTTGGTGAAGTAGATTGGCAGGTTTGACCAATTTTGAAAATCTTTGTCGAACAAAGTAGGTTGGTAGGTTTGACCAACTTGAAAAATCTTTGTTGAGCGGGTTTTGCTCAGCAAAGTAGGTTGGCAGGTTTGACCAACTTGGAAAATCTTTGTTGAGTGGGTTTTGCTCGGCAAAGTGGGTTGACAAGTTTGACCAACTTTGAAATTTTTACAGAGTAGGTTGGTGGTTGGTCTAACAGTGGGGTTCCTTGCCGAGCAGGTTTTGCTTGCCAATAAGCTAGTTGGTGTTTTGGTAGTTCCTAATAAGATTAGGCATTCTTGGAATAAGTCCTAACAAGGTTATGCATTTTCGGAATAAATCCTAATGAGGTTAGGTATTCATGGAATAAGTCCTAACAAGGCATTTTCGAAATAAGTCTTAACGAGGTTAGGTATTCTTGAAATAAGTCCTAGCAAGGCTAGTCATTTTCGGAATAAGTCCTATCAAGGTTATGCATTTTCGGATTAAATCCTAACGAGGTTAGGTATTCTTGGAATAAGTCCTAACAAGGCATTTTTGGAATAAGTTCTAACGAGGTTAGACATTCTTGGAATCAGTCTTAGCAAGGCTAGGCATTTTTGGAATAAGTCTTAATAAAGTTATGCATTTTGGAATAAGCCCTAGCACCTATGTATGGTTTTAGCTAGGCATTATTACACGACTATTTTTATCAGAAAAATAGAAAGCTTTCACTCTTTCACTGGCTTCAAAGAGAATGAAAGCTTTGGGGCAATTGAGAGGGAATAAAAATAACTACAGGAATTATATGGGTCCTAACACTGCCACGTGGCGTAATTATAAATTATCATGTGTATGACAGTTATCAAATTCTTATCAAACATTGCATTATATTTTATGTTATGCAAAACTTATCAGGATATGAAATCTTATCGTTATAGAAGTCCTAAACAACTGGAGATTGTTTAGGATAGTACTTCTGAAACATTCAAACTATTTGATAAGTAAGTCATTAGACATTATAAATAGGCAATACCCTCATGGGTTAAGGTTCACAATTTCTCTATATGAATTAGTTTATGGTTAAGGTTCACAATTTCTCTATATGAATTAGTTTATTAAATATTTTGATAATATTGGAGGATTGACTTGGGCGTCGGAGGGCTCCCGGCTGCGGCTGGGGGTGTTTTGTCTTGCAGATAACAATCGCGTGGTGGTGCTAATCATCTTCTTCGTTGAATTTCTTTATTATCAAATATGGTATTTTTTTATGTTCGTACATACACCAAATTGTCAGTCGCGAATGAACAATATTTCACATTTATTAGTTGGACTATATGTTTCCCAACATTCGGTGGTTGCGCATGTACACTAACTTGTCTCTTATACGAAGGCGCACCGTTGCCATATGGGGTTCATCATCCCCAACCATTAAACCATTCTCTTCGTGTGCAGTTTTGGGTATGCCATTTACTATTGCAATAGTGTCCCAATTACACTCTCATTATAAAGTCCAATGCTTCACATGATCTCCCTTTTGAATATGAAAACATGCCATGTATGTGCCTTGATTCTATGCCCTACACGTCTAAGGCATTTGCAAATGCTTATGCTGCTTCTTTATTTCCCACATATTCAATCACCACAACAAGGAGGTGTTTATGCATCCATGACCCACATCTCCAATGCCATATGTAAAATTTTGAACTTCTTTAATTTTCCATTTGTCACAATATCCCATCCATCAGATCAGAATATAGAGAAGCATAAAGATTAGCTTCCTTTTACTCCTCCTCAGAAACAGCCTTTTCGCTTCCACGATGACCTAATCTGCCAAGAAAATGAGTAAAGCTACCCATGTCAAAGGTCGCACTCCTTTTCACCATAATGCTCAACAGTGTTTTCGCTTCATCCATCTGACCCAATTCACATAACCCATTAGATATCATGTCATATAAAAACACATCAAGCATAAATCCTTTCTTCTGCATGATAACATGCAAACCAAGAGCTTTATCTATCATTCCTTCCTTGTAACACACGTTAATCATAGTATTAAACCCAACTTGGCCCAACTCAATTCCCTTCTTCAGGATCTCATCTACAAATTCATTCATTCTCTCCATCCTTCCAACCTTACGGAGGCCACTCACTAAAGGGTAATATGTATCAACATTAGGGCTAACATCTCTTTCAATCATTTCACTGAACACTGAAAATGCACTTTCCATATTCCCTAATCGGCAATAGCCATTTTATAATCAAGGTGTACAAACGGGCATCTACTTTAAAACCTTTCTCATACATCTCCTTCACCATCTTTTTGGCTTCTTTGATCTTTCCAGAGCTTGAAAACCCATCAATTAAAAATTTATAGGCCTTGACACCCAATTCTACTCATTCCCTCTTCATTAAAACTAAGATCAAATCCAACTCCCCAAAATTCCATCTCTTAGCACAAGCATCCACCAATGTGCTGAATGTAATAGAATTGGGTTTGACTCCTCTACCCACCATCTCTTCGTACACAGCCCATCAACCACAACAGTCATCGAAAACACCAAAACCTCAATACCTGATTCGACCATTCGACACAAAAACTCTAGAGCAGACCCAACCTGATCACATCTCACAAGGGCAATCAAATGAATTGTACAAGTTGTCTCATTGATTTTAACTCCATTATTTCTGAGAGGGTAATTTGTAAGCAAATTGGGCCAAGCTAGGAAAGTCTTCTTTGGAAGTTGGACCGCGCAATGGGCCGAGATAAGGGTTGGTGTGGCTAGGTCTTAGGCCAAGAAGACATCTCCTATTACGGATTTGGGCCGAACTATGGGCCGAGGTGTTTGGGCTTTGCAAGTTGGACCTCGTCCTTGTTAGTTCGGTCGGAGATTCCTGTAATTAGCTCGGTCTAAACAGACAAAACTGAGGTATCAGTAGGGGGAGAACCGAGCTAAAGGATAGCTCTGCAGGGCGTCATCTCAGAGTCAAGACTGACAGTGGTGCTTAAAATATCACCGAGCCGAAATAACCTGGTTGACCGCAATGTCAGCCGAGGTAAAGATGTCAGTCGAGGTAAAGGAGGTAACATCAATGGCAAGGGCTGAGCTGTATATAGCTTGGCAGGATGGCATTCAATAGATTGGCTTTCGATCACACGGTCCGAATGGCAAGGGACTGAGATAAGGCAGTTTGGTCAGAAATGTATAACCAAGGTAAAGGGTTTAGCCATCTCACTTGGCTTGCGGTGATGAGACTCCTAGTAGGACTCTGCTAAAGAGAGTTAGAATCCTACTGAGATTGTGCAAACCATCTCACTTGGTTGGTAGTGAGTAGGAGTATGACTTCTAGGAGGACTCTACTAAGGAGAGTAGAGTCCAACTAGGATTGTGCAAAACCATCTCACTTGGTTGGTAGTGAGTAGGGTGTGTGATTCCTAGGAAAACTCTCATAGGGAGAGTTAGAATCCTACTAGGATTGTGCCAAAGTAAAGTCTTTAAAAGCTCATGACCAGACCTATGGACAGGTATCTCAATTCCTACTCTAGAATACACAGAGCTTATTGTTTATTGTCTAGTTATTGACTTAGGCATTGGAGGGGTTTCTGACACACACCCGCTGGTTAGCTCACGTTTGTGTTTTCAAGTGGCAAAGCAACGTTGTTCGGAAGAGTGCAAACTTGATCAACAGGATCATACGAGAAGCATTATTCGTGCTCGTACAATTGGCGCCGTTTATGGGAATTTCACAATAAAAAATTACCGCAACCTGCTATTGATGGGCAAACACTGGAAGAGGGTGGGAGACGCGAAGGTTTACCTTCTATCCCACCCATGGCGGAATTAGATTCCCAGCGAAGGAATCCGCAAAGAGAAGCAAGAGAAAGGCAGGGCTCGAATCCACACCGCTCTCAAAGCCCTGATAGACAGAGGCGGAAAATAGATCCTCAGGTTCTCGAAGATCGCGTAAGGGAGCCAGACGAAGTAATAAGAAGAATGACGGCTGACATAGAGATGATGAAGCACCAGGAAAAAGGCAAAGGGGTGGCAACAAAAGAGGGGCGCAATGGCAACACACACTCTTGCCACTCAGAAGATCGTGACAGACAAGTCACACTATCACAAACTAAAAGTAGAAGCCTCAGGTCGGGCGATACACAATCAAAGACTTCCAGGACACGCTACCCCAGGCCTGAGAGAATGAGGACTGAAAGGGCTTAAAGAAGAGAAGACACTCAGGCTCGTGACCCCCGCAGAGTTTCTGCACTACAACGATTGGTTCTTAGAACACATGAGAGTGTCGAGGTAGGAATACCAGAGCTGCGCCTTGCCTATGAACCAGCAGACAAAGTGTTAGCAAGGTTGTAGAGCTCGCCGTTCGTTTCGGCAATTGAGGACGCACCATTACCCTCAGGCTTCCACCAGCCCAAATTCACTACTTATGAGGGGAAGTTGGACCCCTACATACACTTTCGCTACTTTCGCCAGGTTATGGCCGTGTATCGGCGAAACGAGGCTCTGATATGTATCCTGTTTCCTTCTAGCCTCGGCGACATGGGTTTAACATGGTTTGAAAGGTTGCCAGAAGGCAGCATAGCTTCGTGGGCGCAACTAGCGGAGGCATTTGTGACCAGATTCAGAACGAACACCAAGACACCAGTGGAGATTGATCAGCTTCTTTCCATAAACATGGGCGAGAAAGAAACATTGAGGTCTTATAATAACCGATATTGGGAGACTTTTAATCAGATTGGAGATTGTTCTACAGACCTAGCTATCGCACAGTACAAACGAGGTTTGCCGGCTGGCAATAAGTTGAGGGATTCAATGGCAATGACGCCGCCCCTTACTATGGAAGCCCTAATGGAGAGAGTGCACTAACACATCTGGGTAGAGGAAGATGGGGCGCGCACCAAAGCAGAGACCGGCGCAACAGTGGTACCAGACAAAAAGCTTTTTGGCCAAAGTTAACACGGTTGACAAGTAGGATTGACCGCGCAACAGTCTTTGCCCGACTGGGGGGCAATTGGGAAGGTTGGCAGGATTGACCAACTCTTTCTAAATAAGTCTTTGCCCGATTGGGGAGCAATAAAAAATGTTGGCAGGTTTGACCAACACTTTTTTCTTTCCTAAGCCGAGGATAAGGATTTAGACTGCAGGACGTTTGGTAGGAATAACCAAACACTTTGCTCAGAGTTGGCCGGAATAACCAACTTTGAGCTCTCTTCAGCTAGGATTTGGATCTGGGCTGAAGAGGTTGACATGTTTGACCAACACTTTTTTTCTTTCCTAAGCCGAGGATAAAGATCTAGGCTGCAGGACGTTTGGTAGGAATAACCAAACACTTTGCTCAGAGTTGGCCGGAATAACCAACTTTGAGCTCTCTTCAGCTAGGATTAGGATCTAGGCTGAAGAGGTTGGTTGAAAAAACTGACACTTCTCCTAAGTCGAGGATAAGGATCTAGGCTGTAGGACGTTTGGCTGGAAAAACCAAACACTTCGCTCAGAGTTGGCCGAAATAACCAACTTTGAGCTCTCTTCAACTAGGATTAGGATCTGGGCTGAAGAGGTTGGCTGGAAAAACCAACACTTTGCCTAAGCTGAGATAAGGATTTAGGCTGCAGGAAGTTGGCAGGTTTGACCAACAAGTCTTCGCCCTACTGGGGGGCAATCAAGAAGTTTGGTAGGAATGGCCAAGCATTTACCTCTTCTTCAAGCCGAGATAAGGATCTACGCTGAAGAAGGTTGGCAGGAATAACCAACATTTAGCTCTCCTAAGCCGAGATGAGGATCTAGGCTACAGGAGGTTGGTAGGTTTAACCAATAAATTTTTGAACTCTTTGGCCGGGATGATGGTTACCTCGGCCAAAGCAGGTTGGCAGGTATGACCAACAAAATTTTTGAAACTCTTTGGCCGGGATGATCGTTACCTCGGCCAAAGTAGGTTGGCCGGAATAACCAACACTTTGTTCTCTTCAGCCGAGATCAGAATCTAGGCTGAAGAAGGTTGGCAGGTTTGACCAATAAATTTCTGAACTCTTTGGCCGGGATGATGGTTACCTCGGCCAAAGCAGGTTGGTAGGGTTATTGTAAACCGAGTTAGTCTACTCGGTGAGACACAAAAAGAACGACTCGCTGTACAATTACTAACTCGAAGAATATATACGTTGAAGGCAAAAAAGCAGGGCTATTCAAATTTTTGGCATGACGACTGTAATAGGAGAACGGGGCTAATGGGGGCACGCCACCTGTCCTTGGGATAATGTCGTATCAGACATACCAGATTAATGAAATGACGTGTTGAGCAACTGACCAGACTTGTTGGGACTGAACGAGTTGTGAAACCGAACAAACTTCTCTAGTTCGGCAGAGCTGAGCGTTTTTAGCTCGGCTAGAGGAGAGTAATCCCAATCATGCTGCGCAGATGGAATTAAGGGGTAATTGAGAGGGTAATTTGTAAGCAAATTGGGCCGAGCTAGGAAAGTCTTCTTTGGAAGTTGGGCCGCACAATGGGCCGAGATAAGGGTTGGTGTGGCTCGGTCTTAGGCCAAGAAGACATCTCCTATTACGGATTTGGGCCGAACTATAGGCCGAGGTGTTTGGGCTTCGCAAGTTGGACCTCGTGCTTGTTAGTTCGGTCGGAGACTGCTGCAATTAGCTCAGTCTAAACAGAAAAAACTGAGGTATCAGTAGGGGGAGAACCGAGCTAAAGGATAGCTCTGCAGGGCGTCATCTCAGAGTCAAGGCTGACAGTGGTGCTTAAAGTATCATCGAGCTGAAATAACCTGTTTGACCGCAATGTCAGCCGAGGTAAAAGAGGTAACATCAATGGCAAGGGCTGAGCTGTGTATAGCTCGGCAGGATGACATTCGATAGATTGGCTTTCGATCACACGATCCGAATGGCAGGGGACCGAGATAAGGCAGTTCGGTCAGAAATGTATAACCAAGGTAAAGGGTTCAGCCATCTCACTTGGTTTGCAGTGATGAGACTCCTAGTAGGACTCTGCTAAAGAGAGTTAGAGTCCTACTGGGATTGTGCAAACCGTCTCACTTGGTTGGTAGTGAGTAGGAGTATGACTCCTAGGAGGACTCTGCTAAGGAGAGTAGAGTTCTATTAGGATTGTGCAAAACCATCTCACTTGGTTGGTAGTGAGTAAGGTGTGTGATTCCTAGGAGAACTCTCATAGGGAGAGTTGGAATCCTACTAGGATTGTGCCAAAGTAAAGTCTATAAAAGCTCATGACCAGACCTATGGACAGGTATCGCAATTCTTACTCTAGAATACACAAAGCTTATTGTCTATTGTCTAGTTGCTGACTTAGGCATCGGAGGGGTTTTTGGCACACACCCGCCGGTTAGCTCACGTTTGTGTTTCAGGTGGCAAAGCAACGATGTTCGGAGGAGTACAAACTTGATCAATAGGATCATACGAGAAGAATTATTTCGTGCTCGTACAATTTCTCATATAATTGAAAGTTTCCAAAGCCTCATCAAACTTCTGACTATCCGAATAAACTTTAAGCATCAAATTAAACAATTTAGCAAGAATCTTGGGTTCAACACAGTGATTCTCAACGAAAGAAGCTAAATCAGAATATGGGTACCTGAGATTTACATTTGTTGAAAGCGAGTTCAGGTGATTTTCAGCATCTGTGAACCTCCTTGCCTTGATTAACCTGCGAAGTAAAACGAAATGGGTATGAAGATCAAGGTTGAAGGAGATGGAAGAGTGGTTGTTGAGGAGGAAATTGAAGAAATCGATGCGTTGAGAGGTTTTGAGATGTGGATCGGAGAGAACAAGGTGGGCATGGTTGGGAGTGAGGTCGGAGAGGCAGGGCTGAGAAGATGAGGTGGTGAGGTGAGGATTGTTGTGGGTGCGTGTGATTAGGTCTCCAATTTTTTGAGTTTGGTTTGGTTTGGTTTGGTTTGGAAGGTGGCATCTCTTAACAGTTTGGAGGTTTTTGAGCAAGTTTTGGAATGCCATTTTTTGATTTGAGAGAGAGGATGAGATGAGGCTATAGCTATTCAACTTCTCTCGACTTCTTGGGGAATTCGGGGTGCCTGCTGTGGGTGGAAGAATGCTCCTCCTGCCAATCAAACTGGCTTTAGTTTTATGTTTGCCAAAAATCTCTTGTGTCTGTCTATAGTGTCAAGTGATGATAGTCATATACTTATCTTTCTTACAAAGAAATATTGCCAAACGGTTGTACTATATGTCCTAACGAGGACATGTGTGATTGATAAGATTAAAATATGAAATTGAAATTATTAATTCGTGAGCTCAATAATTTTGTGTTTGTTTTGAAATTTTGTTTCAGAATTATTAATCCAATGGATAATTAATCCAACAAATTGGATTATTAGTAATGGGGTAGGAGTGAGATTATATATCTTGAATTGGAAAATAAAATAAAAAGACTATTTTATCTTCATATGTTTTTTTATCCTATACAAATCAAACAATGGACAAGAGGATAATTTATCGTACTAATCCAATCAGATAGTAAATACCACACTAATTTGATGGGATTATTAATACCTTCACTATTAGTCTTGTGAATCAAACATGACCTCAGTGTACTAACTAGTGTACCAATACTAGTTATGACATTATTGTTGACCCTACTCATTGTATAAATTACAAATACCAAAAACATCTTAAATTATGTCACATCATCAATTGGTACACTAATCAGTACATTAGTTAATGCATATAGCATTATTCATTACGGAATTTTGCAAACAAAGCCTGATAATAAATATAAGGGTAAATTACAAATACATATTCTGAGATTTGTTTAAAGCATAGATTGTTTTTTGTGATTTTTAAAATTATAAATACCCCCTTGTTAATTTTTTTTTTATTTAACAGAATTAACTAAAAAAATGAAATTCATAATTGCTCTCTAATATAATAATAAAATTACTCAAATTATTAATTGAAACATATTTATAACATCATTAAAAACTATTAATTGATTTCATAATTTATTAATAAAAGCAACTAACATGTGATGCATGTCAAATTGTAAGAGTCTTCTTTATTAAACATTTGTCTTAACATTCATTTGGTATAAAGCTACAGGGCTAAAATAGTCACAAAAAGATAAAACAGATTAAAAAGCTAATAAGACAAAATATCATATTTAAACCATAATCATTTCATTTTTTTTCTTATAAAAATCAAAAAAGCTAAAAAAATCTATCTCAAACGAGGCTTTTTAACCCCAGGCTAATGTCACAACGCAAACCCGCCCTTATAGGTTTAGTGTCGTAATCGGCCAGTAATCTTGGGATTACCAAAGGCCTCTAACCTGAATATGATAATAATATAGGGGCTATGGAAGCAAATATATACAAATACAACGTCCATAGAGCTATGTAGACGTACATGGAACTAAAATTTTAAACTGAGATATATACATACAAAAGTGACGTTAAACTTTCTTAAGTCTTGCTTCATTATACAAGTAATATAATAAGGGACTTAGCCCAGCGTATAGATAATAAAAACAAAATAACAAAGCATCCTTCACATGGTTCACAAAACTTGACTTTCAAAAGGGAACCTCCCCGGGAGGCATAGTGGCTGACTGACCCAAAACTCTCCAAGCAACAACTTAGGCCTAGTTACGCATCTGCTCACCTACATACATAATATAAATAGTGAGCAGAAGCCCAGTAAATAATAACAGAGTAAAGGGTTAAATGAATGGTGCCCTATAACAGATTTAGAAAGCAAAAATAGGGTTATTTTCATAGTCTTATTCAAAGCACATATAGAAATCAGAGTTCAAGCTTAGTCATACATGGTACATCTATTAACGCTAACAGATTAAATACAGAGCATAAATAGGGTTATGCTTGTCAGTTCCATTAAGGAACCTCCGGTACCAGGAACTTGTAACATACTTGAGCCACGATATTGTTACCCCCCTGGGTGAGGACCATGAGACCACAGTATTATTACTCCCGAGTAAGGGCCTTGCGCTCATAGATCGTGATATTGTTACCCCTAGGCAAGGGCCTTGTGCTAAGGATGCCACAAATACCTTTCTATATATAGACAATCATTCATTGATACAAAACATAGCATTTTAGAAAACAGATCATTTCTTGTCATATCATATAGGAAAATACTTGAACACGAACATAGCTTTACAAAGTTATTACTCACAGATGGCTCGAAAAGCAGACAGACAAAATAGACAAATCAGATTGCTAACGGCACGTGACCTACACAAACATAACAGATACACAGATTGAAACACACACTCGGATAATACTTAACTCATTGCGTTTCGTTCTTAGTGTATTTTTATGTCTTATCCTCATTATTATATCTTAACTATGGCCTAGGAATGCCTAGGATACAATGGGGATGCCAAAATGAGTTTCAAAACATAGTCATTTTTGCTGAAAACAAGAGTCTCGCTCGAGCGCAACTTCCTTCGCTCGAGCGGTCTGTAAACTCTGCAAAAGTACTGGTTACTTGATTTTTCCGCTTGACGCATGCTCGACGGTTGCTCGAGCGTGAGACTGAGGTCCTCGCTTGAGCGCAACTCTTGTCGCTCGAGTAGTCTTCAAAACTTGTAAACTTCTGGGAGCATGAATTTTATGCTTGAGCCAATTTTTGGTCACTTGAGCGAAAGTGCAAAAATACAGAGCAATCGCTCGAGCGCAGGTTCTGTCGCTCGAGCGGAGAAACAGAATCTGGAATTTTTAGATTGCTCTTCCAAGCTCAAAACTAGAATTAAACACATCAAAACTCATCATTTTTGGCCAAAACTCAAGAAAACATGTAGAAACTTGTAGAATATCAGGAATTGAAGATCATGTCGCAAAATCAAGGCCTAAAAGCATGTCAATTATTCAAAATCGAATTTTAAACTTACCATATGACACATGCATGCAATGTGTTGAGTTCAGACTCCTCAAATCATGGACAAGAGAGACGTGATACACAAAATCATGTTGAAGTCCCAGCATTTAACAAATATAACTCCATGCATATGAGGTTTAAAATGGAATTCAAACTCAATTTTCATAAATCATGCTCAAATTCTTTAATCTAAGCTCAATTCTTAAATTTAAACACTTAACCCTCTTAAGTTCAACCACTTATGTCTTAAATACAAAGTTTAAGGGTATGGTCCTTACCTAGAGTTCCCAATTCTCTTGAATTCTATCAAGTTCTTGCTCAATTCTACAAATTTTCCATCATTCTTACCAACTTCCCTTTTCTTTCTTCTTGAACTCACTCTCTCTCTAAGCTCTCACTCTCCTTCACGTTTTGTTGTCTCAAGGAAATAAAGTGAGAGTGCAAAATGTATTCTAGAGCCCATTTATGCCTTATATAGGCTCAATTAAGATGGCTTAAGTAAACTTGGTTTCAACTAAGCAAATGGGTATTATTTATTCTAATTAATTTGTTCCGAATCGAATTTCAATCAAACTTACTATAAAATTCTAAAAATTCCAACTAACACGTAAATCAAGTTAATTTCATGATCGAATGCTGATAAGGCCTTCAATTCGCAGAACAGAACAAAATTATAGACAGATATTCTTACGCAAAACAGATAGAAACTCACATAGCATATAACACATGAAATTAATGCATAATTCATCTTAATTACTTATTAGGCACTTGTAATCATGGTTTAACAGTTAATCATAGGTCGAGGTTGTTACAACTAAAATGCCCAAAAAGTTAAAAAGTCAACCCACATCCCAAATGAACCAGAGCCCACTCTTTTCTCTATCTAATTATTATTATTGAATTGAACACTTGACATAAGAAAAATATTATCATGTTGTTAAGGAAAATACTATTTGTATATAAAGTTTTTATCATATATTTTTTTATCACTAAATATAAAAGGCAAATTTCATTTTACCCTTTGTAATTTGAGCTGGGTGCGGATTATCCCCCTAACATTTGGAAATCACCACATAACCTTTATGTGGTTACTGGACTGAAGTGCACAGTTAACATTTCCGTCCAATATAACAGATTGTGAGACTCACACGTCTCTGTAGAGAGTAAAGTTAATTTTTAAGACGAAAATAGCATTTTTACATCTTTAAATTTACCCAAGATGTCATTATTTTTTCACTTTCCTTATTTATATTGTTTCTCTTTGTATTCTGCAATTAAATAATAGCACTCATATGTATATATATATAGAAATTAAATGATTTCCCTTAAAATCTATCTTAATATGGATATGATGCAATTTGTATATCACCAATACACTTGCACAACTTCCATTGGAAGTCAATTGCTTATGGGTTACCTACTGTATTCAACCAAAAGACTGGAGTTGTCCATGAAGTAGTAAATTCTCAATCTTTTTCCTTTTTTTCTATTTTTGATATGGGTTTTTGTTCAGATTTGTGTAAATTCTGAACTTTTTCAACCTAATTTAATTTAATTATATTTTGAGAGCAATATATTTATATATATATATTATACAAACATATATACATTTATATACATATACATCATTATATATTTATTTTTATGGAATCAAATACATCATTATATATATATATATATATATTTCTGGAATTGGATTCATCAATATCATCACTCGATACATTAAGATGATGATGATTTTTGGGTCATTTGGGTAAGTTGGTCTTGAATGAAGATGTCAAATTGTGGAACCAATAGAACACCCAAATCTAAGATTAACTTCAAAAATGAACATGTATATACAGAGAGAGAAATTGATACATACAAACATATATATAGAGAGAAGGAGAGATGGCAATGTAATCTATGCATATATCTATCTGTATTTCTTTTTTCTTTTTTTTTCCTTCTATTTTTTATATGGGTTTTTGTTCGAATTTGTGAATGTTTCTGTTCCTGGATTTGGTTGTCAATGCATTTCAAGTTATGGTTTTGATTTAGTTTGTTTCTTGCCATTTTTTTTCCCTTTCGTGGGTTTTAATGTTTTGGAATTATTTTTGTTA